TATATCTCAGTGATATATTGTCCGATCTGCATCAGATTTTTGGTGCTCGACTAGTGAGGACTTATGGACACAGTGGTGTTGTTGTTTAATATTTGACTCAAGTGCGCCCCCTAGGTAAATCAAACTGTTATATCTCAGTGATATATCGTCCGATCTGCACCAGATTTTTGGTGCTTGATTAGTGAAGACTCATGGACACAGTGGTGTTGTTGTTTAATATTTGACTCAAGTGCGCCCCCTACATTATTACAATAGTTATATATGCTGAAGTAACTTATGTCAAAGGTTTGGCGAATGCGCACTCCGGAGAACGGGCGCGTGACGGTAGCGTGAGCGTTCTCGATGGCGACTGGGAAGAGTTGCTGGAGTTCCCGCGGTCGCCGTAAGGCCGCAGCGGCGCTTCGCTGCGAGGGCCTTCAACGCTGCTTGCAGCTTTAATTACATGTGTTACTTTGCTTCCCCTGCTCCCAAATTACTGTTGAGTATTGGTTTGGATATTTTATCATACTGCTAGCAATAGGAAACTTAGATAAATGCATGTGGCCACATCTTAACTTTTACTGAAACTCTCTCTCTCTTTCAGTCTGTGACAACGCGACGGAACGATGCCTCTATGAGATGGACCTTAATTGTCCTACCAATTCGTAGTCATTGTTAAAGACGCAGGCCAACAAGTTGTGGTCCTTTTAAAATACAGGCATCCACTGTGCGCTTTGTAACCAACTGACAGAGAATTACATTTTTAGACATTGTATTGCGTTTTTTCACTAAGTTGTGCTATATTTATCTTATTAATGGCTCATTTGATTGCTATTGTTATATCACTTAGACAGCAATTTTGTTAAACTTATGACACAGGGTAAGGATGATTGTGAGAGTGCACTGGAACGCCATCTTGGTCTTCGTCACAAGGGGCGTGAGGCGTTGTGCTGTTTTTACCCCGCACCACTATACCGTTGCCCTGGGGATTTTTGCAGCACAAGTTCTGGACACTCGTCAGGGACAGATGTTTGTAGCCAAAGAGGTGGTCCCCAGGGGGAAATGTTGTATAATGTCATATTTTTTGCTGTGCTCTGACATGAAATATTTCTCTGTGTATGGTAAAAAAACTGCAAAATCATGATGTACGTCATAGAAGTTCATGATGTGCGTAACCCCTTGTACAAGAGAACCAAAGACTGTTGCTATCTTGCCGGAACAGACCACATTCAGCTGGGGCAGTGGGCGAAAAAACGAGACCATGCCAGACCACATCCAGGAACATCAGCTAAACCAGAGAACAACATCACGATAAGGACATCCCAATGTAACTGATAAGGCTGTATTTAAATGAAGCAAATACATTTGTAACTCAGACGTGTTAGATGGATGTAAGGTGCATGTGAGACGTCTCCCTTTCCAGCACTGTGAAGGTCAAATAAATCTTTGTCTGAATTCAGAACCACTTCTCAGGCTGTGTTTTTGACTCTGTCTTCCATCCACTGAACGATCTCAGGTTGAGGCAGTTTTTGAGCTAAGTGTTTGAAGGTTGGTTCTCAATGTTTGATTAAGACCTCAACAGAGTAAAGGAGGCCATCTTTGTGAAAAGAAATAGTCCATCATTAAACAGAGGTGGAGGCCTCCGTGTTCAACTGTCCCCCTCTTACAATGCTGTTATTGCTAGTATCACTCAGCCCCCTGTGAATAGTAAACAGACATCAGGGTGCTAACTCAACTTGACTGAGGGTGCATTCACACCAGCCCTGTTTAGTCCATTTTAATCGAACTCTAGCTCGTTTTCCTAGAAAGTCCGGTTCGTTTAGGGAGGTGTGAACGCGCCATCAAACTCTGTCACGGAACAAAAAGGCGAACTCTGGCCCGGGCTAAAACCTAGGTCTCGGTCCGGTAGAAGCGAACTCCAGCGCGGTTCGAGTGCAGTGTGAATGTAAACAGACTGGACCCCGCTCCACAGGGTAAACAAACACGCATTGCGCATGCACAGAGAGAACATGCAAACTCCACCCAGAAAGGCCCCCGGACCAGGATTTGAATCAGCTCCCTTCTTGCTGAGGCAGCAGCTCTACCAACTACGCCACCGTGCCTCTCCACTCTGAAACTCCTTGTTCATTTGTTCTCTCTTATAAAAAACAAAATGAACAGGTTTGTTTCTTTTGAAGTTATTTTAAAGCTCAAATGAAATCCCTGACCTGATTATTTTAAGATGAAACTGAGCCTAAAAAAAGCAAAAAAATAATTCAAAGGGACTTTCACAAACTGAAGCAGTTCAGAGAAACTGACAAACAATATTTAAAGTCATTCCTAAATCCTCTGACCATTGAAAGTATTTTTTTATTTTCATAAAACCTTAAGTCACTGATTTTCAGAAGACGTTCAGAAAATGGACTCCGTGTACGAATCTCTTCTCTACAGTTTGCATCCTGGTAACGATTTGCTCAAAGGTTTGGTCAAAGAAACGAAACGTCTGTCAGAAAAACAACTACCAGTGGAGCTGAAGAACCCGTTTCCCTTCTGAAGGATGCGAGACTTAAATCAACTCGTCCTCGTTGATTGACAGGTGATCGAGGATCAGATGAACGCTCTGCGGACGTCAGTCGTTCGTCCTCCGGTCGCCCTGCGGAGATCAGATGGAGGTCGTCCTGTTGGATCTGCCATCGGACCGATGGGGTCGTAGCGGGGGCGGGGCAGCGGGCCGTGGGGCAGGTTGGGCCACTGGTCGTACTCCCCCCCAATGATTCCTGGCAGCAGAGGGAAGAGGGGGCGGGGCACAGGTGTGATGATGTCACGGAAAGGGAATGGCGGCAGGTGGAAGTGACGAGCTGCACGGTGGCGTTCAGAGCGACTTTTATGTGACTTTTTGTAAAGCTGAAAGGACAAACAAACACCAAAGGCACTTAAGAGGATGTAAACAAACAAAAACAGAAGAGCTTACGAGAGCCTCAAAATGTCTCTTCTTCTTCCTCTAAAAATAAATCTAATGCTGATCAACCTACCTTCAGAAACATCTTTAAACCGGAAAGATTAACATAAAGAAACACACTTATGATCTGATGATCTGATGAAATGAGTAGAAATATTTATTTTTGCCTTCAGGAGGATTTAACTGTTAGAAACATCCTCACCTCCTTCCAGTCTGTGTCTCTGGATCTGCTGCCATCTGCATCTAAACAAACAAACAAATCATTTATCAACATCATCTCAAACAACAAAGTTAATCAGGTTTCCATCCATCCATCCATCATCTTTTACCCGCTTCTTCCATTTTGGGTCACGGGGGTCGCCGGTGCCCATGTCCAGCAATCACTGTGCGAGGGGCGGGGTACACCCTGGACAGGTCGCAAGTCCATCACAGGGACACATAGAGACAAACAACCATTCACTCTCACTCACACCTAGGGACAATTTAGAGTTACCATTCAGCCTAACGTGGATGTTTTTGGTCTGTGGGAGGAAACCAGAGTACCCGGAGAAAACCCACGCATGCACGGAGAGAACATGCAAACTCCACTCAGAAAGGCCCTCGGACCGGGATTTGGACCGGGATTTGAACCAGGGTAATCAGGTTTCAGGTTTCGACCTTGAAAAACTAGTCCATGCATTTATTACAACCCGAATGGACTACTGTAACTCGCTTTATGCTGGAGTCAGTCAGGTCTCTCTCTCACGTCTCCAGCGTGTCCAAAATGCTGCAGCTCGGCTACTAACATGAACTCGCAGGTTTGAGCACATTACTCCAGTTCTGTCCTCTCTTCACTGGCTTCCTGTGCGTGTCAGAGTTGATTTTAAGATTCTTCTGCTGACATTTAAGTGTGTTAATGGCCTTGCACCATCATACCTCTCCGACCTCCTTCATCCTTATACTCCTTCTCGGGCCTTGAGATCATCAGACCAGCTGCTTTTGGCCGTATCAAAAACCAGCTGAAGCTCAGAAGAGATCGGGCGTTTTCAGTCATGGGCCCTAAACTCTGGAACAATCTGCCCATCAACATTCGACAGGCCACCTCAGTCTCTATTTTTAAATCTCTCCTCAGAACACACCTGTACTCATTGGCATTTAACACAGTGTGATCTCATTTGGTATTTCGTTGTTGATGATTGTGTTCATTCATTTTGCTTTTACTCCCTGACATTTAACGCAGAGTGATTTGATTTAGTATTTCATTGTTTCTCATTATATTTCATGTTTTTATGCTTTTATTCATGTTGCTGTAATATGTTGTTATTAATATTTGATGCTGTGGTCTTTTTTGGTAAGCACTTTGATAACAGTTACTGTTTTAAATGTGCTATATAAATAAATGTGACTTGACTTGACTTCAGTCTCTGCTTTTAAAGCTCTCCTAAAAACTCACCTATACTTATTGACATTTAACATAGGGTGATCGGATTTAGATCTAGTTTTGCATTGATTCTGATTCTGTTTATGCTTTTGTTATTATTCCTATTTAACACAAGGTCATCAGATCTGATTTAGTATTTCATTGTTTCTAATTATGTTTTCTGTTTTATATTTTTATTCCATGTGCTGTAAATATATCTTGTTACTTTTTATTTGATGTTGTGACATTTTTGTTAAGCACTTTTTACGGGGCGGCTGTGGCTGAGTGGTTAGAGCAGTCGTGCTCCAATGCGAGAGTTGAGAGTTCGAATCCACCAGCAGTCACATGTCGAAGTGTCCCTGGGCAAGACACTGAACCCCTCTTAGCCTCTGATGTGTGTCCCATCAGTGTATGAATGTGATCTAAAGCACTGATTAGTCTCATTAGAATGATTTGCTCAATTAGCTTTGTAGAGATCTAGTAGAGTTCTGTATGAATGGGTAAATGATGCACAGATTGTAGAGTAAAGTGCTTTGAGTATCTTGAAATAATAAGATAGAAAGGCGCTATATAAGTACGGTCCATTTACCATTTCCATTTCACTTTGGTAACAGTTTCTGTTTTAAATGTGCTCTATAAATAAATCTGACTTGACCATTTTTTTAAATAAAGAAAAGGTCAAACATCCAACAGATCAAATCCATTAAACTCTGGACTAAATTTTAGATCAGGAAAGGTAAGTTAAACAATTAAAAACCTTTTATAAGTTTTAATATTGTTAAACAAATACTTGTTATTTTTAAAGACTCAAGAATTTATTAGCTTTTAGCTACTTTTAGCTAGCCTTTTGCATCTTTGGGCTTTAAGCTTGCAGTTTTAGCTACAGTGCCTAGCAATATTCGGCCCCCTTGAACTTTTCAACCTTTTGCCACATTTCAGGCTTCAAACATAAAGATATAAAATTTTAATTTTTTGTGAAGAATCAACAAGTGGGACACAATCATGAAGTGGAATGAAATTTATTGGATGTGTCAAACTTTTTGAACAAATAAAAAACTGAAAAGTGGGGCGTGCAATATTATTTATTCGGCCCCCATGCATTAATACTTTGTAGCGCCGCCTTTTGCTGCAGTTCCAGCTGCAAGTCTCTTGGGGTATGTCTCTATCAGTTTTACACATGGAGAGACTGAAATTCTTGCCCATTCTTCCTTGTAAAACAGCTCGAGCTCAGTGAGGTTGGATGGAGAGCGTTTGTGAACAGCAGTCTTCAGCTCTTTCCACAGATTCTCGATTGGATTCAGGTCTGGACTTTGACTTGGTCATTCCAACACCTGGATATGTTTATTTGTGAACCATTCCATTGTAGATTTGACTTTATGTTTTGGATCATTGTCTTGCTGGAAGATAAATCTCCGTCCCAGTCTCAGGTCTCTTGCAGACACAAACAGGTTTTCTTCCAGAATGGTCCTGTATTTGGCCCCATCCATCTTCCATCAATTCTGACCATCTTCCCTGTCCCTGCTGACGAAAAGCAGGCCCAAACCATGATGCTGCCACCACCATGTTTGACAGTGGGGATGGTGTGTTCAGGGTGATGAGCTGTGTTGCTTTTACGCCAAACATATCATTTTGCATTGTGTCCAAACAGTTTGATTTTGGTTTCATGTGACCAGAGCACCTTCTTCCACATGTTTGGTGTGTCTCCCAGGTGCTTGTGGCAAACTTTAAACAACACTTTTTATGGATATCTTTGAGAAATGACTTTCTTCTTGCCACTCTTCCATAAACGCCAGATTTGTGCAGTGTACGACTGATTGTGATGGACTTGCGACCCGTCCAGGGTGTACCCAGCCCCTCGCACAGTGATTGCTGGACATGGGCACCAGCGACCCCCGTGACCCAAAATGGAAAAAGCGGGTAAAGAAAATGGATGGATGGATGGACGACTGATTGTTGTCCTATGGACAGACTCTCCCACCTCAGCTGTAGATCTCTGCAGTTCATCCAGAGTGATCATGGGCCTCTTGGCTGTATTTCTGATCAGTCTTCTCCTTGTTCCAGATGAAAGTTTAGAGGGACGGCCGGGTCTTGGTAGATTTGCAGTGGTCTGATGCTCTTTCCATTTCAATATGATTGCTTGCACAGTGCTCCTTGGGATGTTTAAAGCTTGGGAAATCTTTTTGTATCCAAATCCAGCTTTAAACTTCTCCACAACAGTATATCGGACCTGCCTGGTGTGTTCCTTGGTCTTCATGATGCTCTCTGCGCTTTGAACAGAACCCTGAGACTATCACAGAGCAGGTGTATTTATATGGAGACTTGATTACACACAGGTGGATTCTATTTATCATCATCAGTCATTTGGGACAACATTGGATCATTCATAGATCCTCACTGAACTTCTGGAGTGAGTTTACTGCACTGAAAGTAAAGGGGCCCAATAATATTGCACGCCTCACTTTTCAGTTTTTTATTTGTTAAAAAAGATTGACACATCCAATAAATTCTTCACAAAAAATTAAAATTTTATATCTTTACGTTTGAAGCCTGAAATGTGGAAAAAGGTTGAAAAGTTCAAGGGGGCCGAATACTTTCACAAGGCACTGTAGCTTTGGTCCACTCTTCCTTTCTGGGTCGCAGGGATCATTGGTGCGTTTCTGTAGTGTTTTGGTACAATCAGCTTTAATTTGTTTTTTGTTGTTGTTGCTACTTTTAGCTAGTGTTTTGCTTGTGTTCTGCTTCTTTTAGCTTCTGTTCCAGCTTCAGTAAACTTCAGCTGCAGTTCGGCTCTCGGCGGTCTCACATTTTTGCAGAAAATGAAACTTTTTTTTAGTTTCCAGTTTAGTTTTGAAGACTTTAGCTTCAGTTTTCAGTCAAACCAATAAATCATTTGTTGACAGAAACAAGAGGAGCAGAACGTTTCTCACCCGCAGCTGTCTGTTGAAGACAGTTGAACGTCTCACCTGTGAAGTCGCGACGGTACAGGTGTCTCCACAGCATGGAGTCTGCAGCGGCGGCGCTGAAGTGTCGGCTGACCGCGGACAGTCGGACCACAGAGCGGACGTCCAGCAGGCGGAGGACTCGGAGGAGGAGCTCCGGAGGAAGAACAGACAGACCGAACGCCGTTGGCAGAGCCATGGCTGAAAACAAACCGTTTGTTCTGTCATAGACTGGATCTTCAAACCATCAGGAAGATCAACAGGAACATTTCATTTCTCTTCTCAAACCATGGCTTACAGAGAAGTTTTAGAACTTCAATAAGACACCTAAATAGGAGTTCAAACATGTGGTTAAAACATCAACATGCAGCTTAAACAAGCAAAGGTTTCAGCAAACGTCAGATTTTTAAAGTGTCTCCAAAATGCAGCTTAATTCAGTTTGAACACAAAAACTTAAATTAAAATTTCAATCTGTTGCCTGGAATTCAAACTGAAATGTTGTTTTTTGTTCATAAAATCTGTTTCAATCCAAATTACTTACAAATAAATTTCTAACTACCCAGTATATTTATTTATTAACCTTTATTTAACCAGGCAAATCCCAATGAGAGCACAGATCTCTTTAGCAAAAGAGGCCTGGGCCTGAAGACAGACTAACATGCATGTTTTTAATCTGTGGGAGGAAACCGTTGGTTACGTACTGTAACCCCAGATTCTATGAGTATAGGCGTAGCCCGTTAAGAGCTGTCGCTTAGTGGGTTTATCCCGTTATGCGGAGCATTACATTGAAAAATTTAGTCCAGGCCCACCTGCTGTGTGGGCCCCACCCGGTCCGTATAAATTACGTTAAGAGCGGGAAATCAGCTCCCAAAAATAGCTTTTTCTTCAGCCATTTAGGAGCCAGTGAGGCCCGACGCTTAAAGGGCTACGCCTATACTCATAGAATCTGGGGTTACAGTACATAACCAACGTTCTATTTCGTATAGGCTTCGCCCTTTAAGGCTGTCGCTTAGTGGGTTAAGGGCGAAGCGGATGTTGTCCTCGCCTCACTGGGTCCATTCGAACACAGTATGAAGCAGAAACTTACCCAAAAAACGTCTAGTCACTCAGCTCCCATGTGCGTAATTACGCATTGCGTAATTATGTATGCCATGCACAGACGCATGTTGTGTAACTATGCATTCTGAATGCATGAACGCCCCGGAAAACTTCAACGGGGAGGGAAAAAAGCTGAAAATAGCCATGAACCAACCAGTTTACGGCTGAACAGTATGAACAGATTAATAATAACAGGAGAGCTGATTATTAATCAAATGAACTGGTTGGTAACAATAGTCGTGAACTGATTAGTGACAATAGAACCAAAATAACAATCACAACTTGTGACTGATAACATCTCACACTGTAATGCATGCAGACAGATGTGAGTAAAACGGAGTTCCATGAAACAACAATATTCATTCTGTAAAACACTAAGGACAGAATGTGTCATGGAAGGAGCCGTCACATCACGTAGATAAAAGTGAATAAATGAGCAGGGTGTTGACCACGCGGCCGCAGTGCAAAATGTCCTACATTGACATACCATTATGCAAAGCAGTCGAAGATGCGATACCCCTGGTCGAGTGTGCTCTGAGGTTGACAGGAGGCTCTAAATCTGATGCTCTGTAAGCTTCAGAAATGGCCTCACACAGCCAGTGTGACAAGCGCTGGGTGGATAACGGGCGACCTGCAGATGCATCTCCATAATGCACAAACAAATGTTGACGCATTGCAGCTGTGCACGCTATGTAACACGTCAACGCCTGCACAGGACAGAGGAGATGAAAAGACGCTACTTCTTCTGATCTGTGTGTGAACGATATCGCTCTTGATTTAAAAGAGCTCGTGATGTTTTAGGCATAAAAGCTGGGTTGGTCTAAAATCAGCTGAGCTGCCGTCAGCCTGAATTCTGAGACATGACGGAGCGACAAAGAGAGCAGATAAATAACTCATTCTCTTAGCGGATGTTAAAGCCAGCCACAGGGATGTTTAAAGAGACAAGAATTTAAGTGGAACCTGATCCAAAGACTCAAATGGAGCTTTGATCAGGACCTGCAGGACCAGTATTAAATCCCACTGTGGAACAAGTGGGTGTGAAACAGGCCTGCGTCTCTGTACACCTTTTAGAAACGCTTCATCAGCGGATGATTAAAAACTGTTCTGTCTCAGAAACCTTCGTGTCAGGAAGAGATGGCTGCAGCGTACGTTTTAATCGTGCTGGACGCCAAATTTCTGTCCATCAGCTGCTACAGAAAGGACAGCATGCCACCTAATGGACATGAGGTGGCCTCTACACCCTTCTCTGTACACCACCGCTGAAAAGCTGTCAGCTTGGTGTGTACATCACTGTGGTAGATGCAGCACGTGAAACCTGAATTGTGCGCACTACATCCTGTGGGGGACCCAGACTCTCTAAGTGGATCCGTTCAGCGGCCAGACCCACAGGTGCTGGCCTATTTCTGGGTAACTCCTGGTCGCTCCTCCTGCCTGGAGGAGAGCGTCCTCCCTCCACGGCAGTTTCCACTGGCACACCGACAGCAGGCGTTGCAGGACTGGGAACCATGGTGCGCTCACGCGTTCGGGGGGCCACCAGGAGAGCTGTCAATCCCTCCTCCTGAACTCGGTTCAAGAACCGTAAAATCAGAGGAGCTGGAGAAAAACACGTACAGAAGCATTTTGGGCAATGGGCTGTGGGCAAACGCATCCACCTCCAGCGGTGGTTCGTCTCGTGGGCTCAGAGAAACGTATAATTGACACTGAGCGTTTCTCGTGTCACAAACAGGCCTACAGCTACTATATCAATTTGAGACAAAATGCTCCGTCAGAGGATGATTAAAGGTTGTTCTGTCTCCGACAACTTTGAGAAAAGAAGAAAACATGGCTGCAGCATACGATAATCGTGCTGGGCACCAGATTTCTGTCCATCGACTGCTGCAGAAAAGGACAGCATGTCGTCCAGTGGACATGAAGTGGCCTCTACGCCTTTCTCTGTACAGCAGAGTTGAAAAAGCTGACCACTTGATGTGAACAGTGTAGTGGTGGTTGTAGCACGTGACTCCTGAATCATATGCACTACATCTTGAGAGAAAACCATCTCCTCAAAAAGATCCGCACAGCGGCCAGACCACAGGTGCTGGCCTATTCTGATTAATTCCTGATCGTTCCTCCCGCCTGGAGGAGAGCGTCCTCCCTCCACGGCAGGTTCCACGAGCGGCCTGATAACAAATGTCGTAGGCCTGGGAACCATGATGCGTTCACGCACTTGGGGCAGAGGAGCTGCCAGTCCCTCCTCCTGAGCTCGGTTCAGAAAACCGTGATATCAGAGGGAGAGAAGAAGGTGAAAAGGCATTACGACCACAGGCTGTGAGCAAGCACGTCCACCCAGCGGTGGATCGTCCCGTGGCTCCACAATAATTATAGTTGACATTGAGCGTTCTCTCATGTTGCTACACGTCCACAGGCGCTGGCAGGATTCTTCCGTGTCTGAGCCATAGCTCTGGATGGAAGGTCCCAGGTCCCCGTGCTGCAAAGGACCGTCTTTGGACATCACATCCGCCACGTGTTCGGAATACATGAGATGTACCCACTCCAATGGAGAGCAGATTGGGTGTGCCCCACACAGCATGTCTCACAATGTGGCACATGGGTTGAGCGCATACATTTCCTGCCAGTATGTATGCAACAGTCACTTGCTGTCTGTGTGAATCAAAAAACCCTGATGATTCTGCAGCTCAAGGTCAGTGTTGAGTCACATTCAAAGATCCCGTGCGACACTCCAAAAACATTTAAATGAGCTGCTGTGTGGAGAACCACAGCGCCCCCACAGCTTGTTAAATGTGTGTGCCTCTGTGAGAAACTGACGTGTGACGTAGATCTGCTGACGGAAAACAGCTGATATCACTCAACCGGTTCACGTGAGTTGCACTACTGCCACCTGTCTGTACAAACTGCTCAGCAGCAGCAGGTGTCCAGATAAAGCAGAATTAAAGCGGTTTGGGCACATAATGGAGTGTTGTTTCTCACAGTTCAGAAATTGACAATCTAGAATAAATCTCATCTTTCCAGTTCAATGGGACCAGGAAGTGATGAGAGAGGGACCTTGTGTTTTCCTCTCCTTCCGAGACTCTAGAAATTACATTTAAAACAGAATTTCCTGAGCTTCTGCGAGAGGGGACGAGATCTGTTCATAAATGACAGAAAAAACGTCACAGAGTTCCTCCACACCGGGGTTTGAACTGAACTGCAGCATGAATCCACGGATGAAAACGGTTCGCCCATCCGTCTGGAGTGCGCGCTCATTGCCACCCGTTTATAAGTTATAAAGCGGGCACGCATTTATGCTGTGAAACTCACATGCATGCTGATATGAGCTGGAGCGCGCTGAGTGAGAAAGAAAAAACACGCGCGTCCCCGAGCATGCAAAACGCTGTGTGTTGCTGATGCTGCGGGACGCAGCTCATCTGTGTTGTGCTCACGTTGTGTGCAGCTGCTCCGTGTAAACGCTCGGGAAGCGGGTGCACGTATGAGCCGACGTGCCCTGAAGGGTCGTGTGTGCGCGTCCTCATCCATGCGACGCCTTAAGCCAGGATTGCCGCGGGGGCGCGCGTTGACACTGGTGCGGTCAGGAAGCAGCGCGCAGCATCGGTGGAGCGAGGTTACCACTGGCTCGGTCTGCAGAAACATGTTCATTGTTGGCTGCGAATCACGTGAACTTTTGAGTGATTCCACGAGCTGCAGTATTAATTCAGAAAATCTTCCTTCGAGGATGCAGGAGCCAAGCCGCTGGGAGGCTTGTGAACCTGCTGACGCCGCGGGAGCGCGCGTTGGCAGTGGTGCGGTCAGGAAGCAGCGCGCGGCATCAGTGGAGCGAGATTACCACTGGCTCGGTCTGCAGAAGCACGTTCATTCTTGGCTGCGAGTCACGTGAACTTTTGAGTGATTCCACGAGCTGCAGTATTAATTCAGAAAACCTTCTTCGAGGATGCCGGAGCCGAGCCGCTGTGAGGCTTGTGAAGCTGCTGACACCGCGGGAGCGCGCGTTTGACACCGCTGCAATGAAAAAAATGTGTGTCGCTCCTGCTGAGAGCGAGATACGTTGCTGAACTCATACCACGGTCTCACGTTAACGTTGACGTGAACGGCGGGCGCTGAGAGCTGCGTGCGCGCTTTCATGCCGCGGGAGCGCGTATCGGCACCGCTGACAGTGAATGAAAAACAAGCTTAAAAAGGCTCATTCGTGATGAGTGTGTGTGATGGGGCCGCTTGTCAGATAAACCATGCTGACAGCCTGGCTAAAGGACATTTGATCATAAAATGATGTTATTTTACATCGTGTCATCAACACACCTCCAGCAACCCGACACCTGGTTACCTTCCCTTGAGCTCTGTTTGTTGTCCTGGAGGGCCCCCTGTTGGCGAAGTCCGGGTAAAAAATGAACTTCCGGATGCCGGGGACGTCTGACGGGAGGGGCTGGCGTAGCAGAGCTGGGGAGGCGTTGTGCAGCTGTGGAGCATCTTGAAATGATCTCTCGCTGATGAAAAGAGGACCTCCAACAAAGCTCCTGCAGCTCTCCTGAGAGGAAGGTGGAGTGACGAGCCAGGAGAACCTCTGGGACCTCATTCTCCGGCTGCGATGCGGGGCGGCAGACAGAAAAAGAGGCGCACCGGTTGAGGATGATGTCAGCTGCCCTGTAGACGAAGAGTACTTCAGGGGCCAGCAGCGTCGTTAGCAAGCAGCCGCTACGAGAGCGGAGCGAGCCGAAGGACAGAGGGCCACCGTCTCTTCCCGCCTCTGAACGTGTACGCCAACAGCGTAACGTGTTGTTCGCTGCGGCCGTGTGGAACACATGCTGGTGAGCTCAGTTGCAGAGCGGTGTCACCGTCTCGGTTATGCTAACCGGAGGCATGGGACGCTGGTCCACCTCGACATCTTGCTCCAATGAAGCCTCCATCAGGCTCGGCTCCAGGGGGCACGGAGGGACTTTCCGCTCAGTGAACCCCTGCTCTGGAGATGGGTGCGGACTGTGGAGATCGGTCCCCCAATCTACCAGGAAAGAACCGTCTGTGGCCTCGCCCGTAGGACGTCCTGTTGGGAACACGAAGCCATATGGATCAAGATGGTGAGCCGGAATGGAACCCAGTAAACAACCTTCCTGCCGGATCATCCGAACTGGCGGGAAAGGCGTGGGACGTAAAAAAGGGTCCCTTCATGTCAGCCGCCTTCTGCGTTACGCCGGGCAACCCCTGAGGGCGCCGTCGGCCAGGAGCGGTGTGATCGCCGATGCGAAACGAGGTGGGATGGGATGAGCATTCACTCAGCCCCCCTCCACCGACACTACGCTCTCCAGGAGGGAGAGAGCAGCGAGAGGCTGCAGCTGAGCGCCGCCTGTCCCGGAGGAACCATCCGATTCGCTCCGAGGGTCGGCGATAAGAGGAAAATTACAAGATGGAGTTGTCCAGCAATTAGTGACCTGTCACTGAGAAATATTCCTCGGCGCTTACCTTGAAATAAGACTGCTCGTCAGCTTCTCCTCGGGGAGGAGAACTCACCGGACGCCGGAGGTCGACTGCCGGGCCAAGCATTCTTAACAAAGGTTGGTCATCTACACAACTTTCCTTCTTCGTTCTTCTGACAGTGCTATTAGCTCGCTGAAGAAAAAATGGGAGCCGATTTCCCGCTCTTAACGTAATTTTTACGGACCGGGTGGGGCCCACACAGCAGGTGGGCGTGGACTAAATTTTTCAGTGTAATGCTCCGCATAATGGAATAAACCCACAAAGCGACAGCTCTTAAAGGGCGAAGCCTATACGAAATAGAACAGAGTACCTGGAGAAAACCTATGTAGCAGAGAGAACAAGCAAACTCCACACACAAAGACCTCAGGTCCAACCAGGGATTGAACCCAGGACCTTCTTGCTGTGAGGCAACAGTGCTAACCACTGAGCCGTCGTGCTGCCAAATAAATACAAATTGCATCCATGTTTCTCACCTGAGAGGGTTTTATTTTTAATAAGGTGATCATTTATATCGATTTCATAAAAACATTATGTTTTGGTAATGCACAATGGGAAGTTTTCTTCAGTGATTTTAAAACAACAAAAACAACAAAATACCTAAATAAAGCACATTTCTTTGTGTTTTTGTCATTTTATTCATAAATATCTTTAAATGTGTGGTTAAATCGATGACAGCAGTGTGATTGTGGTTCTGAGAGTGGCGGACATGTTTACCGTCTCTGGCGGCGGCGATCAGCGGAAACGCCAGCTGGTCTTTAATCATCTGAGAAAGTTTTTTCAGGTTTCTGAAGGCTGCAGCTGCACTTTCTCCTGAAGGAGAACAGAGACGGTTAAAAACTTGTCAGAAAGTCTAAGTCGAACCCCCTTAAACTACTGAACGGTGGCTCTACCTTGCCACTCGCCTGTCACGTAGCTGGAGGCGTTCAGCTGCAGCTTCCGAACAACGTCCACGGTTTCTGTCACCTTCAGAGTCACTACAGGAAAAGAAAGAGCAACATGTTTTGTTCTGGAGGTTTTGGAGCAACACCAACGTTGATGATAAAACGTGAACGTTTGGAGTTAGAGGAGCGTGGGATCACCGTTGACAACAAGCAGCGGGCCCATGTTCACGGCCACCACAGAGATCAGGCTGCTGCCACATAGAGAGTGGGAGTACGGCAGCCTGCAGAGTCCAGCTGCAGACCTCCACCCTTCAGGCATCTCCTGAGGCTTCAGCTCGCCCCCCTGAACACAGAACAGGAACGTGACGTGCCTGAAACCGGGTGTTAACGTGTGGCCGGTCTCTGCAGCTTCACCTGAGGAGTGAAACCGGTCTCCAACATGATTTGGTGCAAGGCCACTATGACGGCCTCGTTGGGACTGCTGACCCGGGCCGAGTGGTACAGGCGCTCCAGAGAGAGCGGAGCCTGGCCCTCCTCCACCTCGCTGCACAGCATCGGCTCCCAGACCCGGGCCGCTGGTTCAGATTCCTGTCTGCTGCAGGTCTGCAGGGGCTCTGTCAGCGCTGCAGGACTGCCGTTATTTCTGTCCAGCTGCTGGATCATAAAAACACATCCTCAGGATCCTCTGACAACAAGCCGATCCATTTATCCACAGAGCGTCAGAACCACAGAACAGAAGTAAAACAAAAAGCCCAAGTCCTGAAATAAAACCACATTGTCAGGTGAACGAGGAGCTGCTAGACTGTTGGATTTTCAAAACAGTTTGATTTGTTGACAACACAAGATTTTTTACTACAAGAAAACTGAACAAAGTTCTGCAAAAAGACAGAAAATAACTTTACTGAAGTTTACTGAAGAAACAAAAACGTTTCTTTCGGCTTTTCCTTCTTCAGGGGTCTCCACATCAAGTCACCTTCCTCCATCTCACTCTGTCCTCTGCATCCTCTGTCCTCACTCCAACTATCTTCATGTCCTCTCTGCATCCATATATCTCCTCTTTGTCTTTTTCCTAGCAGCTGCATTTCTAACATCCTTCTACCAATAAACCCACGCTGCTGCACTAATAAGAACTAATAGAAGGTCTCACATTACACCGGTTTTACCTTCTCTACGTTGGCTACCTGTCGAATTTAGAATTAATTTTAAAATTTTAGTCTTAACTTGTAGAGCTTTAAATGGACAGGCCCACCAGTACATCACTGAAATTTTGACTCCTTATTCTCCAGCCCGCACCCCTCGGTCTTCAGCGCTGAACCTCCTAAAGGTCCACAAGACCCGGTTTAAAACTCAAGGTGACCTGTCCTTTCAGGTCTTAGCCCCCAGATCGTGGAATGCCCTGCCCTGGTCTCTTCATGTGACCGTCTCCGTTGATTTCTTTAAAAAGCAGCTTAAGACATATTTATTAAGACAAGTTTTTAGTTAAATGTTCTACTTACTACTTTTTTTTCTTCTGAACCCATCCAGAGGACGACTTACCTTTTTTACATTTTTCTACCTGGATTATTGAGCATGCATCAGGATGTTTTACTTACCGTTTTTTTAATCATCTGTTCTTACCGTTTTTATTTTATTTTATTTCAAGCCTGTATTCTGTATTTCTGTAAAGCACTTTGTGATTTTATCTATGAAAGGTGCTGTATAAATAAAGTTTACTTTCTTACTTATTATTCACATAAAACTTAAAAAAGTGACATTAAAGAAGAAAATCAGCTCATTTTTATAAAGAATTGCAGCCAATGAAAGCTCTGAGACAGAAAGAAGAAACGCTTCAGGTTTAAGATGATGACGCCAAACATTTTTATGCTTTTCTAACATTTATTGAACGCCTCACTGACAAAGCCAATTTTATTTTGCAGCTTTTTGTGGATAAAACCAAGAAAACTCTTTATTCAGGTTTCTGGTCTCTAAATTTAACCAAGAAATTAATGTGGGTTTTTTTATTGTTTTTATTTCAATATTTCTTGGTGTTTTAATATTTTGAATGTAGGACTGTTTCATTTGATCTCATAATAAATGAACTACTCTTTTCTGACGTTCTAAGTTTAAATGTGTAAGGGACAATAAAACAGCCAATTTATGTAAAAAAAAAAACATGTAAGAATAAAATAAGGACACTAAACTACAAGTAGAAGACAAAACATGCACAGTGTCTCCGCATTATTTTTACGTTTATTTAGGAAAAGACAACATTTTTGTTTCTTTGCCTTCTTTTATCCAGATGCTGCTTCTCTTTTTACTCGTTTTTTTATCTTTTGAATCATATGTTCTTCAATTAAATAAAATTGGTTCGTGAGTTTTTAAAAATATGTTCCCTCAAACCTCCTTCTTCTGAACACCGTTGTTCTTCTCTTGTCTTTTAAGGCAGACAAAAGTGCATTTAATTGAAGAAGCTGATGAATAATCTGATCTAAATATATTAATATATTTAACAGTCATGAAATTCTAATGGAAAACAGGTAAAGAAAAAAAAAAACTGTCCAGATGACCTGACTGAACTTTGTTGGATTTTTATGCCTGGATTATTGAGCATGAACTTTGATAACTGACAACAGGTTTTATTAAGTTAGTCATCTGTTCTTGTTACAAACTGCTGTTTTCTAATTGAACTCATAAGTTTACACTCAGATGTTGTAAAGTTCTGTTTTATAAATGATAAAGGTTGTTTGAATGTTGTAAAATAATAAACCACGACTCTGGTATTACCCACCAGTTTCTTAAGGAGACAACAAGGACTTTTAATTTTGAAACAAAAAAACATCTCTTTTCTGATCTCACCTGGCAGGTGGTTATGCTGGTGGTCTGCTGGAAGTTAGTTGTCCTGCTAGCGGAGCTGATGGTCGTCTCTGGGGTTGTCGTGGTGACCAGTGGAGGATGCGGCAGCAGGACGCAGATCAGATCTCCAGAAACGATGCCGCAGGAGGACAAGGTCTGCCCGGAGTCTGAAAGAAGCTCTGAGCCGTTCAGAGACAGACTGAACTCGGTGTCTGTGCTGAGAGGAAAGAGGTGAACAAAAGAAAAGGATCAGTTCACTGGACAATTGGGATAAATAAATCCATCTCGAGTCCTGACCTGAGTCCATAAGAGGACAGTGCCTGCTTAATGAGATCTGAGAGTTCTTGCAGGGTGGGTTCTCCCCCCGGTAACTCCACCTTGCTGGTCTGACGGTTGATCCGAACTCGCAGCTTCATGCTGGGGACAAAAAGCAAACAAAACAAACTTTCTTCATGATCACCTGACTTTTGTTTCTGTCAAGAGAATGTGACGCAGCTCAGTCCACTCCTAACATCACAGACGGAGACGCTCCACCAAACTTCACAGTTTTCCTCCGGTTTAAAGTTAAAAATAAAAGTTTTATTTCGTTTAGGCGTCGCCATTTAAGGCTGTCGCTGGTGGGTTTTATCCCGTCATGCAACGCATCACACTGAAAAAATTTAGTCCACGCCCACCTGTTGTGTGGGCCCCACCCGGTCCGTATAAATTACGTTAATAGTGGGTAATCGGCTCCAATTTTTCTTCAGCAAACGACTAGCACTGACCTTCAACATCGAGATGTCCAGCAACAACACCATTCGCCTGTGTCCGTCCTGCAAGACCGGCTACTTGCTGAGCTTCGACCGGCACGACACCTGCGAAGGATGCCTGGGTTCATGCCACGCCGCCCTTGCCTCCTCCTGCCACCTCTGTGACCTCCTCCCTCCGGAGGAAAGGTAGAGGAGAGCAGCCTTGTTCAAGGCTAACGTCGAGGAATGCCTCTCTGTGGAGGGAGACTGTTCGCTGGATGATGCCATCAACTTTTTTTACGCCTGCTCTCGGAGCGAAGCGGATGGTTCCTCCGGGACAGACGACGTCAGCAGCAGCCCCGCTGCTCACTCCCTCCCGGAGAGCGTAGTGTCGGAACGAG